AGGTTATAATATAATAGAAATAGAGTGATGGGACGGTTAAAGGTAATGTTTTGGGATTGTGCCAGGAGGGTTCGATGAGATGGAGATAGAATGGCAAGATACTGGTGTCAGGATGGAACCTGGAATATCGGTAACAGTAACGGACCATCTACCCTGAAGAATGTCCACACCCACGTTGTACAAGCGAGTGTAAGAAGTTCATACTCTCAAGTACCTGTAGGCCAGATCGGTCTTAAGGATGAAAAAGTGTTAAGTGCTCTTAAGTTTCCAGAGCATACTCAGGTTTCATAATCAATCGAAAACCTTTTCTTCATTTAGGAAGACCCGCCGAGCAAAATTCCTTCCTCTATTTTTTAAAAAGCGATATGGTTCGTTGAGTTTAGGGATAGGGTGAACCAGGAAAGGAAAACCAGAAAAAGGCATAGCAAAGTAAGTGGCATAGAGAGCATTATAATGGTTAGGAAAACTATAACTGAAAGTTAATTAAGGTTTTTAGTTGAGATGAAAAAAGTTAATGGCACGAGAGGGATTCGAACCCACGACCTTCGGCTAGATACGCCGCTGCTCTACCACCTGAGCTATCGTGACCTCGATCCACTCGGACATCAACTCCCCATCTCAACCCCACCTTATGAGTTTATCACGATAGCTCAGGTGGTAGAGCAGCGGCGTATCTAGCCGAAGGTCGTGGGTTCGAATCCCTCTCGTGCCATTAACTTTTTTTCATCTCAACTAAAAACCTTAATTAATTGTCATGCATTAATTGGTCAAACGGACCACGAAAGTAGTGAATTAATGATTTAAAAATGAAGTACACTTCACTAAAGCTCTCCGTCGCCATTTCATATGTCGTCGAGAATCCAAACCGATTACACGACATTTGAAAAATGGCAAAAGGAGGGAAAACTCATAAGGTGGGGTTGAGATGGGGAGTTGATGTCCGAGTGGATCGAGGTCACGATAGCTCAGATGGTAGAGCAGCGGCGTATCTAGCCGAAGGTCGTGGGTTCGAATCCCGCTCGTGCCATTGAGTTTTTTATCTCAACTAAAAACCTTAATTAATTGTCATGTATTAATTGGTCAAGCGGACCACGAAAGTAGTGAATTATATAATTGAAAGTTTAGAATGGCACGTTTAGAACATAACGGTGTCGGAACGGTAAGGGATATGAAGATACAAATACCCCAAAAGACCCTGAAGAATACCCGTGTCTCATTTCTGGAGAATGAGAGGATGTAAAATACCTATCAGCCAGGAAGGACATTAGGATGTAGAAACAAGTGCCTGTCGTCCGCTACTTTGGTCAATGACAAACGCCTTCCAAGCTCACAGTAACTCAAAGACCCTTCAGGCTTTTTAAAACACTGATGGACAAATGCTTTGTTTAATCAGCAATCTGAGATATCTTCTGACATACGACACCAAACTTTGGTGTCCAACCGAAAGTTCCAGCTACGGTATCCTTACAATCCAAGAACCTTCGAAACAGCTATGCTCCTTTCTATGTATCCAATCTTACCATTCACAATGACCTTAATATCCAGTACGACTTTCAAGTAGACAAGAGAAGAGGTTTCACAATCAGTCAGAAACCGTTCATCCAGCACTCTTCCAGATAGCAGCATTCCATCTTCACAAGGGAAATAACAGGGTGTCCAACCAAACGTTCCTACCACCATATCCCTACAATCCAATAACTTCCGAAACAGCCGTGTTTGTTAGGATAATGATGTTAGGAATAAAGGCAAGTGTACCCTAGTGTCTACCGTCCGCTAACTTGATCTATGACAGCCGACTTACTCGCATCCACACAGGCGGTTCAAATACACGAACTCACTCTTTAGACATCTTAAAATATTGCTGGACAAACGCTTTGTTTATATCACCGTTGTGAGACCTGTTTGGAATACGGCATTGACCGTTGTAGTTTAACACAATAACATCCAACGTTATCTTACAATCCTATAACCTCTGAAATATCAACGCTCTTTCTTTGTACCCGATCTTACCATTCACAATAACCTTATGCTTTCAAATAGGCAAAACAAGACGTTTCATATGTCACGCAAACCTTGACGATTGATTTTCCTTGAAAATTTGAACAAATCTGTAATCTTGACGATGTATTATTTAACAGCAATGTATTTTTTCTCTTAACAATGGAATGCTGGACAGAATTTGATATTCTCGATTAGAGACAAATTTACTGTGAGTAGGCCGGGCTATAAACGCCACTGGGGATGTAATTACAGGGTTGATTTAACGAGAATCTCTCGAAACTGCCAGTTGGAAACTATGACGTTTCCAAAGATACCTCGCTCGTATTTAACAGGATAATCAGCTAATACAGATGCAAATGAGAAATTTCCATAGGGTATAATAATTCTGGCGATTTCTATGAATTGATCTGATAGAATGTTATTCTTGATGTAATTTGACACGGTTAAGTTTTGATAATTGTGTTCGATATGCAAACGGATTCGAATCGACAGGTAACTAAAAATCAATATTTTTATTTAATTATAAACCACCTGGGTTATTTGTCGAGCACAGTATCAATGAGAAAATTGCTCGGTAAACAAATACGGTTTTTAAGATGAGATGATGGATCGACCTGCTGTTGAACAACTTGGAAAATAGGATTTTCGGAGAGGTCCCAACAGAACAAATACTTTTTTACCGTTTTAATTAAGTACTATTTACGAGTAATTTAATTGAATAGCAGAACTTCACGTTGTCCTCTCCCTTTTCATTAAGTCATGTTAAGTTCTCCCTGTTTCAGAATGTCAGGTTTCAGCTTCTCGCCACATTCAGTGATGGGTTTTATCGCATCTCATCGCGGGCAGTGTAAATAAATTGCACGCTAATCCATGCATAGTCGATGACATTTTCTTAGCAATTGGGTGAACAGGTTGCACGCTAATTCATATAACGCCAATAGCAGCATCCTACTAGAAGTGCCACCACTGGGTGATTCTTTCACCCTATTGTCAGATTTTGTTTTATTTTATTTTAAAAATGAACATATCAACAATTTTACATGTATTTTAAAAAAATCTATTGGAAAAAAAACATTAAAAAATAATTAAAAATTCACTTTTCTGTGCTTGACACTTTACAAGGGAAGTTTAACGGATTCTACTTTCTACCGGAGACCAGTGAAATGTCTTCCAAGGTCCTGATAAAAAACGAACAGTCGCTAGTGATTGGCAAGTAAAAAAACCGAATGAAGCTTTGAAAAATGGATGGAATCGAGATTCCACCTAGCTCTCCTGGGCCTTTCTCGTTTTACACCCTCTCGGGGGGGAAACGTTTCAAACATTGGAAATGGGCAAAAAATGAAAAACAATATTGAAACGAAGTGGTTCCGTCGAACAATACCTGGTCTCGTGACGTCCATCAAAACGAGAATAATGGATGAAGCACTGACTGAGCGAATTCGTTACGTATTATGGGTATGCAGGATAAATTAGACATTTTGTAGGCAGGAATGTCAGTTTTGGTAGGCTCAGAGTTGCATGTAGTTTCTCGCGAATATGAACTTAATAATTACATCCATTAGATTTCGTGGTCCGATTGACCAAATAACTTCTTTCAATTAATTAATCTTTATGTAAGGTATTGGTCGAGATAAAAAAGCCAAGGTCACGAGCGGGATTCGAACGCACCACCTTCGGCTAAATACGCCGCTGTCGTGACTTCGATCCACTCGGACACCAACCTCACATCTCAACCCCACATTTCGAATTTTCCCTCCTTTTTTGCCATTTTTCAAATGTGTAATCCATTTGATTCTCGGCGACAAATGAAATGGCCACGAAGAGCTTTAGTGAAGATATACTTCATTTAACTTATTAAATCCATTAGATTTCGTGGTCCGATAGACCAAATAACCTTAATAATTACATTAAAATATTCAAAGTTTGTAATAAAATGTGAAGCACCATTTAAACATAATGCTATTTGTGGTGATTAGTGACCGTTAGTCGATATTTATTTAGAAATCGTGAGATGCGGTCTGGTGTGATGTAAGTTTCAGAAAAACATTTTCTTTATCGTGCCAACGTTCGTAATTGTTATATGTAAACAATGTTTGTAAATCCCAGGCCCTGAAGATGATCTCAATAAAGATCGAAACGTTGGCACGATAAAGAAAATGTTTTTCTGAAACCTACATCACACCAGACCGCATCTCACGATTTCTAAATAAATAATGCTATTTATTTATTTTTTTAGTTTTTTTTTACGAGGGTTCTCAACAGCAGAGGCTATATCAACCCTCGGGGTGGTGGTGTTTTTGAAAAAAAAGCCCATTTGTAAGTATGTCGGTTTCGAATGCAGGGCCGCTGGATTCGAACCCGGGACCTTTACCTTACAGAGATGAGCCCCGTGTCAACGCCTATATCGTTACGGCCACCGACGCCCCCTCAGCGCTTATTATCCGACTTCTTAACATTCTTTGCACTGTTCTAGTGGCTCTATACGAAATGTTCTCAAAAGCTCTATCTATGCCTATGAAGCCACACTATTTTTTAAATTATCTAATGATTTTCTCTCTTTGTTCTTTTATCAATTTGTTCAGTGTAGTCAGTACCAGTTTAGAAGATGATCCTTATTTCCACTTGAGGTCTGACTAGTTACGAACCAGTATCTTGGTATTTCGAGCCTTCAATAGAAGCTCTAGCCAATAGTTAAAGCACTGGACAATACTAAAGTAATTCTAGTATCTATCCATTTTGGTCTATCAGATGCGTTTTGGCTACAAAATCATACTGATCTCATTTCTGTTGTGCCGTTACTAATTAAGTTCCCTTTCTATTTCTAAGGAGAGTGCAAACTGTTGGGCAGGAAGAAATGCGATTGCGATAGGAAATAATGTTTTAAATGGCAGTACAGGTACAACGGAGAGGGCTGAGGACTTGGCATCCTTGGCCATGATTGAGTCAGGGCAGTGGATTTCAAACATCAAAACCGTGCGACGTAATAAAATTCAACTCACAGTTCTTCGAGGTCTGGAATCTCTTCGAAATCGTGTTCTCCAATTTCCGTGATGTTGTTGCTAAGCAAGTCCCTGAAACAATTAAAAACCATTGAGTTAAGTGAAGGGCTGCACAGAGGGGTTTAAAATGTTATGAAAGGTCGGGGATAACTATTTTAGAAACGCTCTGGAAACATGGTGATAAAGATTAAACAGTCTTTTCCGAGGAATGGAAAAACCTGAAGAAAACCTTTAAAAATCCCCGTCGTAACTTTTCTAGCTCTTCGACTCTGTCTCCTCTAGCCTCTTACGTAAACAATCCACAGATATGTTACCCGCGTAAAATCTCAGTGCGCTATTTCTCAGTTTTCTGAAAACCAAGGAGGTTTACGACTGGAAATTTCTCCCTGCCCCAGAATAATAAGATTGCTGGGGGGTAGGATAAATAATCGTAACTAGTTCACCATAGGAGATGAAGCCAATGACCTTATCAGAGGATGAACTAGGAAATTGGACTTATAAATATTAATTTTTACTTAAAATATAAAAAAAAACGAAATGCTTTCCTTATACACAGAAACTATATGTAAATTCACCATATTAATAATTTATTTAGGAATCGTGAGATGCGGTCTGGTGTGATGTAGGTTTCAGAAAAACATTTTCTTTATCGTGCCAACGTTTCGATCTTTATTGACATCATCTTCAGGGCTNGGTACGATAAAGAAAATGTTTTTGTGAAACCTACATCACACCAGACCGCATCTCACGATTTCTAAATAAATATCGATTAACGGTCACTAATCACCACACATATTAATAATGAAAATAACAATATAGGAAAAATTGTTAACTTCAAAAACATCATTTTTCTTTCAACGTGTGATAGTCCATCGAATGGCCGACCCAAAAAGGCCTTTCATTGAACGAAATTATTTTATTTCAAAACACCCTATTCACCGATCAATCGTGTTTCACGTTTACACGTCAATCTGGTATATCAAAATCCAAATTATCGTCTTACTCTAGTATTAGAACGTTTTCCTTCTGCTATATACCATCTCTGTCAAGTGACGTTTTCCTATTTATTTTTTTATCCGTGTTAATTCTTAAATCGGTAGAATTCTTCTAATATATGAGCAATTTTACACGACTAAATAATTTTTCTATAGAAAGAAAGATCCAGTGGTCACATAGACTTATATCTTTCATGTCGGGGCGGCCCGTGAAATTAACAGGTCGTATTAGTATTAGTATTTCGTATAGTACTCTAGTAGCCAACGTCAGCTAGGATATGGTTCTAAATTTCAAAACTTAGGCTAAGCATGCACTATTTAGATAAAATCCGAAACATTTCAGGTGTATAGATTTCATATTATCAGAGAATATCTATTGGGTTGTCCGGAAAATAATGCAGGATTTTAAGTTTTCATTTAAAAAAATCTATATAAAATATTCTGTTTACGTTTACAGGATTACTCANAATTATTTTGATTAAAGAACATTGCTTTAAAGTAACTAGTTTCTTTTTTTTTGTTTAATACCAAAATCCTGCATTATTTTCCGGACAACCCAATAAGTATATTAACACGTTTCTTGCCGGGGAACTCAATAAACGCCTTCGAAAACCTAAGTGTGTGGTCGGTTTGTTTTGATTCTGCTATCAATTCGGTATGGTCGGTTTAGTGCCGTCAATTTAAGTCGTGCCTGGGGATTTCCAGGTGGTGTCACTCGTCAAGAAACGTCTAGAGGTAGAGTGATGCGCCGGAGGGTGAAGGTAATGTTTCGGGATCTGTAGGGATCTGTGAGACGGAGGATAAGATGGTATGGGGGTGGAATGGTAACATCAGCAGTACATACGGAGAACAGTAGCGCGCCGAGGACGCTACCCTGAAGAACATCCACTTTGTACAAAAGATAGCGACAGGACCCAATTCAACTCTCAAGTATCTGTCGGTCAGTTAGCTTTTAATGATGTGAAGTTGTGCAGGGCTTTTATGTTTCCAGAGCATACACAGCGGTCAATTATCGATCAAAAACCTTTTAATTGAGGAGGACCTCCTTCGCATTATTCGAAAAGCGTTATTATGGTTTATCGGATGAACCATGGAAAGTTCCATAGCGTCGGAAAGTAAGTGGTATAGAGAACATTGTTTGGTGTTACAATGTTAGGAAAAATATGTCTAAAATTTTGGTATGGCAGAATATTGTTGTACGAATATTAAGGGATATTAGAGTAAACTGAATGCAGTAGCGGACCGACGACATCACCCTGAGGTACATGCGCATGTCTCCCTTGTGTAGAGTGAGAGGTGTAAAGTATTTATCGTCAAGGGAAGACATTAGGATGTAGAAGCAAGTCAGTAATGACTGTCGTCCGCTTCCTTGGTCTATGGCAAACGTCTCACATGCTCCCACACACGTGACTCAAATACAGAAACTCAACAGAAGCTTCAGACTAAAATATTAGTAGACAATTGTTTCCTTTATATCACTATAAAGACACACGAGACCTGTTTGGACATACGACATTGAAGGTTGTAGTTTAACCCTATAAAACCAACACTATCTTAGAATCTTTTAACGTCCGAACCATCAAGGCTCTCTCAATGTATCCGATGATACCGTTCACAATGAAGTGTATGTCATTTAACTTGCCAAAAAAAAGAAGTCTCATAAAAAATACTTTTACACAAACACTGACGATTGATTTTCCTTGAAAATATGAATAAAACTGGAATAATGCACTATTTAATAACAATGGATTTCTTCTTTCAACAATAGACCGCTTGACAGAATTTGATATTTTCAATTAGAGAAAAATTTACTTGAGTAGGCCGGTCAATAAAGCCACCAGGGATGTAATTACGGGGTTGTTTTGGTTGAGACCTGTTTGGACATACCGCATAGAACTTGGGAGTCCAACCGAAAGCTACGGTATCTTTCCAATCCAAGAACCTTCGGAACATAAATGTTCCTTTCTATGTATCCAATGTTACCATTCACAATGAACTTAATATGCATCATGTCTTTCAAGTAGACAAGAGAAATCACTCGTCAGCATTCCATCTTCACAAGGGAGGAGATTGATAACCTTTTTGTTTGTTTCCTTATATAATCGAGTCTAGACTTGTAAAAACATGTTTTACCTGCAGTGCCAGAACTCTACCTGAGTTAATCTACTTGACAAAACTATTTATGTAAGATATTGGTTGAAATGAAAAAGCTAGTGTCACGAGCGGGATTCGAACCCAGTCGACCTTCGGCTAAATACGCCGATGCTCTACCACTTGAGGTATCGTGACTTCGATCCACTCGGACACCAACTTCACATCTCAACCTACATTTGGAATTTTTTCTCCTTTTTTGCCATTTTTCACGATAGCGCAAGTGGTAGAGCAGCGGCTTATTTAGCCGAAGGTCGTGGGTTCGAATCCCGCTCGTGACACTAGCTTTTTCAATTCAACCAATACCTTACATAAAGATTAATTAATTGAAAGAAGTTATTTGGTCAGTCGGACCACAAAATATAATGGAACTATTATAAAAGGTTTATTCATTCAGGGAAAATAAATCTTCCAAGTCGTCAGGCATACATTTAATCTAGTAAAGCTTAGTTTAAAAATAATTTTGAACACTTCCTTGAGAAAAACAATACCAGTGTGGCTAAATTGTTTGGGAATGGTGGCATATGCGACAGCGTGAAATAAAGGCCCTCTTCGTTTCGCAGTTAGTGTCAGTTATATTCGGCTCCGTTCCTACCCCAAGTCGCCAAGTTCGACTCTTGTATAATTTTTTCACACTGCTTACATTTTATTGGGTATGGGAAAACATTTAGAGCCGACTCGCATGTAGTACACAAGTTGCTTCCTTTAGGTTGGAGATGAGCCAAGGCAAATGAAAAGAAATATAGTATCAATTGAAGAAAGAAAAGTCCCCCATTTGTCTCGCCACAAATGGCCTTTTTAACTTGTGGGGAAAAGAATATTTCCCGTAATATTTCCCATTTCCTAAGTCTGACATCATTAACTGAAAAACCAATTAAAAATTTATGTACAAAAAATATTGTGTAAACAAATTCCACACAAAGTCAATGACAAGGTAGCTCCTTTCTTTGCGATTTCAACATCAACTCGTGTGATATGGAACGGCATCGCTCGATGTGTAAACAGGTCGCCCGCTGATCCATGATGGTTTGTCAATGGTACATCCTTTTTCGTTTTTTCAGTTTCTACACTCGCGATTTCAAACGGCATTGCTCGATAGGCCGGCAGGTCGCACGCATTTAATGGCACTACTATTCTTTACGATTTGCGCTTCTACTGACTCTCATACATGAAGGCCGTTTGCAGCCGTTTTCTTTGGGACCTGAGCTTACTCCCGCTGTATCGCAATGAGGACTGACTGCATGATGCCGAAAACATTCTAAACATCTACTAAAGCAATCGCATGTAAAACAATCACATCAAAATTAATCAGTGAATGAATCCAAAATCTCTAAAACCTGAGTAAACCCAACCTGATATCTTTGGTGCCAGGGCACAGAGGAATTCTGGATAACGAAAAAGCAGACACACTGGCCAGAGGAGGATCTGCAAGACCATACATTGGCCCCGAGCCAATATTTGGGATAAGAAAAACAAATATACAATCCTGCATCGCAGAATGTATCCAAAGAAAACAAAAGGAGAAGCGTATAAACTATAGCGGCGATAGATACAGTAAACTGATCATGCAACATCGCTCACCAAGACTGGTAAAGTCACTGCTTCAATTGGACAGGGCTAGAATCAGAGGAGTGATAGGACTACTAACCGGTCACTGGAATGTGAGAAAACAACTGCATATACAACGATGATTCCATCTTCAGATTATGCAATGAAAAGAGGAAACAGCTACCCATATCATCTTCGAATGCGAAGAAACAGCTAAATGGGGATTTAACCTAGCATACAGAAAAAATCTAGGAAATGAAATTGTAGCAGCGACAATCAATGATCTAATACTTCTGAGAAGAAGGACTGAATCGATTGCACTGAACTGGGGAACTAGGAAGGTACAATAAGCTAGAAGGCTTAATTGCCTGGGGAGCA